TAAATATTACAAAGAAAATCAAAGAAAAATGAACAAATATTTTAAGAAAAAAAGAAATATCCAGTACTATTTTACATGTTAATGTGCGATTAATGACTGATACTGCAGTATTATCACCTTTTTAAAGCTGCATACAACCAGATCAATTTTAACATTTCGAGAAAATCAAAGAAAAATGTACAAATATTTTAAGAAAAGTAAAAATATTCAATATATAGTACTAATTTACATGTTATGTGCGATTAATGACTGATATTGCAGTATTATCGCTATATTTTTAGTGCATGACTAACACAACACGTGCTATTTTATAATTTATTCAAACATATTAAGGAAAAATTACATTCTAACACGACCCGCATTTTTCCCTATTGAACATAGAAGAACCGAAAGTGTGTATTATTATGCAATAGAGTCACTGTTTGACGTTCTTTATTTAGACGTGTGACGTAATCATTGTACATGTGACGTAACCACTATGAAATCCGACGCGCTGACAATAAGTACGGAAACAAATCAGGCGCAATTTTGCTTAATAGCAGGTACGGCAGCATTTATTTGTTTATGTCGTGTTAGAATCGAAATAATATATCCAAATCGGTGATTTTATCGCTGGATAACATCACTGTTTGTCGTTCGGATGCGCAACATTATATCACTCGGGCTACGCCCTCGTGATATAATTCCTCGCATCCGAACTCCAAACAGTGATGTTATTGAGCTATAAAATTACAGTTTGGGATATATTATTTCTTAATTATAACATTACCAAAGAAAAAAAGTACATTTCAAGAGTTTTTAGAGGAAAAATATTTAAATGGTCATTGCTATATACATGTATATAATACAGTGAAAAATATCAGCATTAAACAAAATATCAACACAAACGTAAAATAAACTCATAAACTTAAATGAATTCGCATGTTGTTTATTAATATCTGACGTGAAGTAATTAGTAATGAAGGGAAAAAAACAAAACGAGAATGCAAAATAGATACTGGCTACTGTTGTATAATTTGATGTATGTGTCGTTATTATAGTTTATTATTTTCCGTGAATATATTTATTTATGCAAATTGATTAATAATGTCGTTGTGTATATTATTTTTTATATTTAGTATATATATAGAGGAATCTATTCAAATTGCGTCCTAAGTTTTTATACGTTCCTGTACAAACAAACCTGTGTTTGTGACCACTGCTGAGACCTAATTTAGAATCACAGCGACTATCATTTTAAAGAATTAAGGATGTACTAGATTCTGACGCATAATGTGCCTTTAAAGTAGTTCTAGTATAAAAATGTTGCATACAATAGTATACTGTATAAGACTAATGAACACTGTTCATAGCAAAGTATATACATTTTGCTAAATGAACAGATTTTGACGACATTTGATGACATTAACTTTTTCAATCTTATTTAATGTTGGCCAATGACAATAAATATGGTTTAAAGTATTTTCCCCTACATTAATTAATTTTAATAGAATAACACAAAAGTTAAACTAGGGACAGTATAGATCTGCTCAGACTTCACAGGTATACGGGTGGTACACAGAAGGTACACGGAAGGTCCTGGTCTGTACACGGAATGTACATGTGTGGTACACAGAAGGTACACGGGTGGTACATGGAAGGTACACGGGTAGTATACCAGCATTTTGAGGGAGGGGTTATTATTTAAAGTGAACCGATTAAAAGAAGCAAAAGACAGCGGAGGGTTTATCAATAAAACATCGCTAGATGAGAAGGAAATATTTATACATAAAATAGCAATGTATGACAAGAAAAACAGGTATTCAATATGTGACATAAGTAATTCTCTACTTACTGAATGAAAATTAAATAAAACAATTTGAAATTTGAGTAAAACTATGCATGGGAATGGGAAATACTGTCTTTCTAAATATCCAAACCTATTGCTTTTTTTTCGTAGGAGGAAGTAACTGAAATGATTATATCAAAACTGACGTAGTAAGGAAGAAAATATTTTTCCGTTTACTTGAATGTTTTGTAAAATATTTAATTTTAAATATGTTGAATAGCCCTTTTCGGGAACGAAAAGAATTGTAATAAAATATAGAAAACGTTTAAAAGATAAATACAAATATCAAGTTAATAAAGAAATATTTCAAGGCTGCGGAATATATTAGAGATCCAAACAGAATTACGTAATATAATCAGTGTCAAAATATATATATATATACAAATAAATCAGTGTCAAATTATATACACCAATAGCCCAGAACCTTATGATAACAAGGTAAAACTGACCACGAAAATGTAAAGTAACATATGCTTTGTGATTGTTCATACATTATCCAATCTCATTATACTTTATAGTTGAAGACAAATATAAAATAAAATAAACCAAAACTCAGATATAAATCATGCAATAGACAAACAAGTTCCTCAATAGAGGCGAGGAGAGTATCATATATAAGTCACTGTTGTAAGGAAAAACGAACAAAGGGTCTTGGGGTTAGTTCATTTACTTCTTAAACACTTCATTAAGTCGTGTGAACAAGAACATAACGGAAACTTCGACAAAGAGATACTACTTAAGTACAATTAACACATGTATATATTTTTCTTACTTTCTTGCTGTGCGACAGTTAACAAATTTGCCACCATAGATAAACTTGATATGAAAAAATAATGTATTATTCTGTTAATTTTATGAGAAGAGGAAGTTCTAAAGGTAACTGGACAGGAAGGTCTGGCCCAACTAAGTTGTCCACTCATATCTGAAATGATGCACGACATAGTAAAATAAAACCCTTTAAAATCTCTACCAATAAAGCGTTAGAATCGCCATCCTCTATAAGTAAATCGCCTTCCTCCATCATTAAAGCTTGAAAATCACCTTCCTCTGCCAGAGAAGCTTAGAAATTGACTTCTTCAACCAGTAAATCTTGAAATCGCCTTTCTCCACAAGTAAAGCTTGAAATCGCCTTTCTCCACAAGTAAAACTTGAAATCGCCTTTCTCCACCAGTAAAGCTTGAAATCGCCTTTCTCCACAAGTACAGCTTGAAATCGCCTTTCTCCACCAGTAAAGTTTGAAATCGCCTTTCTCCACCAGTTGAGCTTGTAAATCGCCTTTCTCCACAAGTAAAGCTTGAAATCGCCTTTCTCCACCAGTAAAGCTTGAAATCGCCTTTCTCCACCAGTAAAGTTTGAAATCGCCTTTCTCCACAAGTTAAGTTTGAAACCGCCTTTCTCCACCAGTAAAGCTTGAAATCGCCTTTCTCCACCAGTAAATTTTGAAATCGCCTTTCTCCACCAGTTGAGCTTGTAAATCGCCTCCCTCCATAAGTTAGACTTACAGTCGCCTTTCTCAACTAATAAAGCTGTAGAATTGCCTCAACTAGAACAACTTGAAAGTTCCCCTCGAGTAAAGAAATTAATAATCGCTTTTACATTATTCATTGCACAGTATCTGTTTCCAGGTTACTAATGTTAAATTTGCTACGTTCTACGAAATGAGATTTAAACGTACTTGGAATGAGTAAAATCTAATGCTATCTTCATTTGAGTCGTTTCACGACAAAACCAACATAATGGGTTTGAGACCAGCATGGATCCAGACCAGTCTGTGCATCCGCGCAGTCTTATCGGGATCCATGCTGTTCGCTTACCAACCCTATTACAAGTAGAGTAACTGATAGCGAACAGCATGGATCCTGATCAGACTGCGCAGATGCGCAGGCTGGTCTGGATCCATGCTGGTCGCAAACCCACTTTGTTGGTTTTGTCGTGACACGGCTCATTTGATCTTGTAATTAATAATGAACGAGAAATAGGGAAGGATCAAGGCTCAGATATTTCGGACTTGGTGTAAGTAAATGTTTAAGTCTTTCAATTCTAATTGGTACTTTATTAATAAATACTGGTAACTATTAATTTTGACCAATAAATAACACAAAGCTGACTAAGAATTGATGCAAATATCTTTCTTGGTTCATCATGACTGAGTCTCTTTTTTCAGAAAGTCTCAAATTTTGTTAATAAAATGAAGACACTTGAATGTTAAAATGTGCACCTTAAATGCATCAGAAAACACGATTTATCGTGCAGATTTTTTTTCATTAAGGACGGCCTCAAGAACCCTCGTAAGAAGGGCGGGGCGTTAATTTCAAACTTCAGTGCCCAAAGCAGATTTTTTTTCGGATCTATCCTTGTTCATTGATATACTGATATGTAATATTGTACATGTATGCCTCATATAGTTGTCATTCGTTTTACATTGGCTATTTACGTGAAAATTAACTGGTTCGCAACCTCAAATCAAAAGACTACATGCCGCAAAGAACCCACTATGAAATTAGTTTGCAGTTTTATAAGAGTTACGTCACCCCATGGAAATTTTACTTACTGCATTTCAATATACACACCGTCCTGGCACGCCGCCTCTTAGGCGGTGTATAAGTAATAGAAAGAGCATCGAAACACAAGGCTATCTGATTTGTACGAGGGGGCGTAGCCCCCGAGTATAAATCAGATTGCCGAGTGTTTCGATGTTCTTTCTCCTTTGTATCATAGTCAAACATAAAAACACGTTCCCTGTTGTTACAATATGAAACCCCGGAGAAAGGTAACCAATGAACGAGCATCTAAATATGACATTTCTGTCGTTTTCCCTTTCTCTGCCGTCACAATAAGTAAACCCCGGCAAAAATGAGACAATCAATGGGCATGCTCTGGAGTGCGGGTAACTAATACCTGCACTCCAGTTAACGCACGGTGCATGTATATGTATACGATTTAACTCGACACATTTTCAACAGAAAGGTACCCAAACTATGATACAATTATTACTTCTTGAACGGTAGTGTGCATTGGACCGTGTCGTGCTAACCAAAGTTTGTTGGAAAGTAATTGTGGAAATTAAGTAACTGCTCTCTTCTGTATTTTAAACTCTTATTTAGCAGTTTCTCTCAAGGTAAATGCTATTCTCCGGGAGAAGAAGGTAAAAACGTTGTAATGTATTTGATCCGCGATAGACAATTATTGACAACGCAATAACTTTGTGGCATTTTTTTTAAATCAAATTATGTTATTCAATGGTTGTCATACTTAAAGGAAAGAGTTATAAAACGTTGATTTATGCTGAAAAATTACATGATGATATATAATTGTTAAACATTTCGCCTGCATATACTACCATCTTAAAAATTTTCACACGATGGAAACGTGATACAGTAATTACCACAGGTGTATGGCGCGTAGCCTAGTCAGTGACTAGTACCTCCACCCCCGCGATCCCTCCACACCCCGTCCCCCCGCATGTGTTTATATAAATAAAATCATTTCAAACGCAATTCAATTCATACCATTAAAAATACCTTCATTGACTATTAAAGTTTGAAATCATCTCCCACTTTGAAATCAAATCGCCTTCATTCACCAGTTTAACTTCAAAATTTTCATACGCCATTTATATACAAGATTAAGCAAAATAAAATTTGTCTTATATTATCAAAATAAGACATCATCATCGTCATCACCATCTTTTTTTTCACATCATCATCATCATCATCGTCATCATCATCATCATAATCATCGTCATAAATTCACATTATGAATTTTGAAATATCTTACGTGTTTGCCATTAGAATAACAGTGTTTACTTAATATGAGGAAATAATGATACATCCTGGTTTATGCGTTAAAGTTAAAACGCAGTTAATAAATATTGTGATGTCTTTTTATGGCAGATTTGATATATTGTAAAAAAATCTTATTATGATATTTCAAAATTCATAACCACACAGTACATGAGGACAATTATAATATATTAATAAATGAAATATTAATGACATGAAATGTGCATTATCATGTTCATTTATTTTCCACAGTAAAAATATTTTAACTACATTGGAGCATATTTATCGTATAAACACTAGTGCCTTGCCGGACTCCTTTCTTTTAAATTCAGCCGGTCTATACACAAATTTAAAAGGGAATTCTTTTAAATTAGAATGTTTATAAAAGAGAAAAAGTATATAACTGCCACTCGTGAAATATTTATTTTCAGCCCAAGTTGAATAAAAAAATGAATATCCTCTCTATATCATATTGACATGCTTCTGTTAGTAAAATACGTTCCTGAAATTATTATGCCCCAGATGTAGCATTATTATGTTATGTTATGTTATTGCGACATTTTATTTATGTCAATCTATTTAATCCTTAAATCGTTCTTACATTATCATTTATTCTCAAACAATTATGATGCTAGCATCACAGGTGGCAGTATCAGTGTTTGGACACCCCACCCCTATCTACCCCTGGACCCCTACTACAACCCTGAAAAATAAATAATTCAACACTCTAAGGCTAACTATAAGGTATCAAATACAAAACCACCGATAAAATTATTTATAAAAAAAAAAATTTCCACTATAAAAATTATAGTTATAGAAAGGTGAAAAGCCTACTATATGTTCATTTGCCAAAGAATGTGGAACACGGGAAATCGTCGTTTCGGCGACTGGGGCGCATTCCGGCGGCATTTCGCTGCATCATTCATTAACATCAATAAAAAGAACTAGAATTCCACAGCTTATCTAATTCAAGTCCAACAAATATCAAATCATTCCGTTTTTTTTTGTTTCATTGTCGTAGCCATTTTGGATTCTGATACCTGGGTTGTAATACACGATCTGATTGGACGAGCCAAATTGGACGTCTAATCATATCGCGTATATCACACAGGTATCAGAATCCAAAATGGCAACGACAAGTCAAAATATACCGTGAAACAGAAAAAAACGATAGAATATTGATATTCGTTGGACTTGAATTAGATAAGCTGTGGAATTCTAGTTCTTTTTATTGATGTTAATGAATGATGCAGCGAAATGCCGCCGGAATGCGCCCCAGTCGCCGAAACGACGATTTCCCGTGTTCCACATTCTTTGGCAAATGTACATATAGTAGGCTTTTCACCTTTCTATAACTATAATTTTTATAGTGGAAAATTTTTTTTTTATAAATAATTTTATCGGTGGTTTTGTATTTGATACCTTATAGTTAGCCTTAGAGTGTTGAATTATTTTTCTTTCAGGGTTGTAGTAGGGGTCCAGGGGCAGATAGGGGTGGTGTGTCCAAACACTGATACTGTCACCTGTGATGCTAGCTATAATATTGGTTTTTTTTCAGGGGAGAGCAATGTTGTATGCACGCAATGTATACAGTCTTTTTACAGTTGTCTCCCTTCTCTCTTCAATCGGTTTTCTAGATGCGTCATCCGGCTTGCGTATCACAGTAACTGAATCGACATTAGATATGGGTATGTGAACACAGGTTATGAATTAATTATTTTCAGTTAGTTTTCTTGTGACAAATAAAGATATTTGAGAAATCATGAATAGTATTATAGGCGTTCAATCAGTTTTTTTCGTTGTAATATAATTGTTCATAATTTATGAAAGCATCGTTAAACGAACATGCCTGTACTTGACCCCCTGGTCATTTTGTATCAAGATTGTAAGCTATAAATATGCAAACTATAGGATAATAATAATAATGATTGTATTTTGTGATTATATACGTTAAACATTAACTTAACTTTTTTTAAAGTAAATGTACATACAAAACGTATACAACTTTCGCTAGCTGTATACGTCAACTAACAAATATATACATCACCGTTTTCAAACAACGTAAACTATATTAGTTGCAAGCTGTATACGGCGCAACAGGTTGTCTGTGTGTTGTTGACTTAAAACTACTTACCACTCGCTGCTATGGGCTGGAACCTGCGAGGAACTTTGGATTCTTTCATATGAGGAAGCTATTCAGCAAGCCTGCTGAGGGTCGATGGTTTTACTCATGTGCTCGAAATAATGCCTTAACTCCTCATCAACCAACTGCAGTAATGCTGAAACGGCCTGAATGATCTTAACAGGGTCGGTGTTGATAGACCCAGCAAGTCAAAACAGTACTTGTGTTGCTACAGTCTTTTCTGTCTTTATCTTAGTCAACCAAGCAGAAATAAAAGCATTTCAGACGGATTTAAATGGCAAAAGATTCGATGACATTGGTGAATCTACCGGAGACTTATCATGGAAAGTTTCAAAGTAAATATTTCATTCACTTTTATCGTATCTTTCTAATCAATTCCAAGCGATAAATACCCTAAAAGTAATGGAATGTAAGAAAGCTTAAACAGTATATTACATTTTCCGAAAAACACACATAGCAGATAATACATAAACATGTTTATTGAATTCGAAACTTGTTTCGGAATAACATTTATTTGAAATATTTTATTATGTCTGATTTTACGGAATTATAACACTATCGATAATACGGAGTCGTGGCAGAGCCATCTTTTAAAACAGTTCTTTTTACGAAACATGTCTTGATATATTATTTGTTTACCCTCGGAAAAGAACCAGATGGGCGAGCATGGAAAGTGAAGTGTTATTATATTTTTATTTTATTATTTTAGTATCCATGTTCAGCACGTAGGATCAATGACACCAAACATTAAATTACATAGCACCGGTCAGATTACGTGGACGTGTTACATAAGTTCATTAAAGGTGAACGGACGTTGGAATGCAAAATTGTCAGGCTGGTTACCGTAAGATTATCTAAGATATACTAGTATTGTTTGAAACATTTACGTTCTATCAAAGGAATTTATTGTTTAGCCTGCAATATAAACGCTTGACTAACATGAAAACCAATCAAATTCTTGTACAATAGAGAAAAACAGAACCACCGAGGAACGCCCAAAACGACAAATTGAAAAATATTGCAGGCTCGGTTTGATTGAGCATGTTCATGGAAGATACTTGAAAATGCAAGGTACCGTCCACGCCCCCTAGCACCTGCCTAAGCAGAATTTAACATTTAAACATGAAAATGATGAAATTTTGTATGTAGAATCATTTGCATCTGTAAAAAAATCTGGAAACAAAGTAAGCCTTTAAGTTTTAAAATATTCGACTGTTCGGTCGAATTCTGTCATTTTAATGGTCATTTATAAAAACATAGTTATATGTTAAGAATTTGTTATAAAGATAGTTTCAATATTTTGCAGTCTCTCGGCTTCAGGCGATATAACAGCAACAGTCTCCGGGACTTCACTCAGTATCTCTCTAACTTTATGTAATTATTTATTTTTCTTTTTTTATTCATTCATATCATTTGCAGTCACGTAATGTATTGTTTCTTTCTGATTCAGTAACTTATTACGAATAGATAGAAAAGAGAGACCATTTGTAAGTAAGACCACAACTTGTTAATTCTTTGATATGGAACGCCTGGACTGTCTTATGTTAAGATTGAATGATATACCTGGTTAAATGTCTTTCTGTTGAGTCCGAGATACAATATGCTGGGTTGAAATCCTAATGTGCTCAGTTATTGAAGTGCTATGTTGTGTGCTGACTGTATTTTATTCAGTCAAGTCAATGTATTGTCGGGTGCATAAGTCTTTATGTTCAGTTCTTAAAACAAACAGGCATGTGGAAACACAATTATGTTGAGTTAAAAAGATATGTTGTAGGGTGTTACAGTTATTATGTTCGGTTATAATAGTATGCTGTTTGGTGCTCTTCTCATCATGTTCAACCATGAAAATAAACAGTTGAGTGGTAATATCATTTTGTTTGGTTGAGGCAGTGTATTATTGGGTGATACTTTTATTATTTTCAGTTGCAATGACATGCTGTTTGGTGCTTTATTCCTTCTGTTCAGTCGTGAGATAGAACTGTTAAATGGTACAATCATTATCTTAAATGGTACTATCATTATCTTGTGTGCTGATTATATCTTCTTCAGTCAAGTCAATGTGTTGTTCGGTGCAAAGGTCGTTATGTTCAGTGGTTTTTTGGTACTATCATTATGTTCAGTTCAGATGATATACTGTTCGTTGCAGAGGTCATTATGTTCAATAGTGAACACAAACTGTTGTGTGATACAACCATTATGTTGGGTTCATTCGGATATTTTCGGGCAACAACATGGGAGAGGTCACGTCGAGGCTAATGACCACTAAATTGCCAAAACAATTTTCTTCCCTGTAAATATTATCGGGGGGGCTTAAAAACGTTATTTTCATAAATTGGACTTTTAAATACCCTATGGGTATTTATTAGTTAATTCATGACTATACCTATACTGTTACAGTCATAATGGGGTACAGTATATAGAAAAACTTAAAATAGGGGGTAAGGGTAGCCTGCTAAAGTCACACATGACCACCGTAAATAAAACTTAAAATTTATCTGTTTGGTAACTATAAAGAGTCACAAATGGACACAGCAAACGAAATTTAAAATATAAAACATCATATTCAAGTAAGGGAACCCTATTTGAGTCACACATGGCCACAGTATATGGAGCATATAAGTAAGGGTAGCCTATTTAGGTCACATATGGCCACAGCATATACAACTTAAAATGTATTTGTTGGTAACCCATTTGAGTCACACATAACCACAATAAATGGAACATAATATCTAAGTAAGGGAAACCTATTTGAGTCACACATGGACTTATATTAAGTATAAGTATAGGTAGCGCAATAAAGTCACACATACCCACATTATGAATAACATTCTATATAAGTAAGGGAAACCTAATTGAGTCACACTAGGCCAAAATATATGGAACATTATGTTTAAGTAAGGGAAACCTTTTTGAGTCACGCATAACTAAAGTATATGGAACATTATATACAAGTAAGGGTAGCCTAATAAAATTAGACTCAAATACATTTCCCTGACTTAAACATTATGTCTAATATATTGTGACCATATGTGACTCAATTACGTTTCACTTACTTATATAGAATTTTCTTTATACTTTGGCCATGTTTGACTTTATTAGGCTACACTTACTTATATATAATGTTCCCTTTACTGTGGTCATGTGTGTCTCAAATGGGGTTTCCATACTTATATTTAACGTTCTTTATACTGTGGCCATATGTGACTCAAATAGGTAATTGTTTTGGCAATTTAGTGGTCATTAGCCTCAACGTGACCTATGGAAATTAGTTGCTCCCGCCCGCCATCTTGTTTGACGCGAAGAAATCCGAATGAACCCAACATAATTGTATGACCACTCAGCGCATTGTCAAATGACTTGTCAGCGCATTGTCAAATGACTTGTGCACCGAACAGTATATCTTATATTTAACGTTCCATATACTGTGGCCATGTGTGACTCAAATTGGTTTGCCTTACTTGTATATTATGTTTCATATTTTAAATTTCGTTTGATGTGTCAACTTGTGAGTCTAAAATGTTACCAACACATACATTTTAAGTTTTATTTACGGTGGTCATGTGTGACTTGAACAGGCTACCCTTACCCATATTTTAAGTTTTATATACTGTGCCCATTATGACTGTAACAGTATAGTATAGTCATAAATAAACTTGATAAAATACCTATTGGGTATTAAATATGCCATACGATCTGTCCAATTTATGGAAATAACGTTTTTAAGCTCCTGATGGTATTTACGGGGAAGAAAATTGTTTTGGCAATTTAGTGGTCATTACCCTCGACTTGACCTATGGAAATTAGTTGCTCCCGCCCGCCATCCTGTTTGACGCGAAGATATCCGAATGAACCCAACATAATTGTATGACCACTCAGCGCATTGTCAAATGACTTGTGCACCGAACAGTATATCATCTGAACTGAACATAATGACGGTATCACACCACAGTTTGTGTTCACTACTGAACATAATGACCTCTGCACCAAACAGGATATCATCTGAACTGAACATAATGACGGTATCACACAACGATTTGTGTTCACTACTGAACATAATGACCTCTGCACCAAACAGATTATCATCTGAACTGAACATAATGACGGTATCATACAACAGTTTGTGTTCACTACTGAACAGAATGACCTCTGCACCAAACAGGATATCATCTGAACTGAACATAATGACGGCATCACACAACAATTTGTGTTCACTACTGAACATAATGACCTCTGCACCAAACAGGATATCATCTGAACTGAACATAATGACGGTATCACACAACAGTTTGTGTTCACTAATGAACATAATGACCTCTGCACCGAACAGTATATCATCTGAACTGAACATAATGACGGTATCATACAACAGTTTGTGTTCACTAATGAACATAATGACCTCTGCACCAAACAGGATATCATCTGAACTAAACATAATGATAGTATCACACAACAGTTTGTGTTCACTACTGGACAGAATGACCTCTGCACCAAACAGGATATCATCTGAACTGAACATAATGACGGTATCACACAACAATTTGTGTTCACTACTGAATAGAATGACCTCTGCACCGAACAGTATATCATCTGAACTAAACATAATGATAGTATCACACAACAGTTTGTGTTCACTAATGAACATAATGACCTTTGCACTTAACAGGATATCATCTGAACTGAACATAATGACGGTATCACACAACAGTTTGTGTTCACTCCTGAACATAATGACCTCTGCACCAAACAGGATATCATCTGAACTGAACATAATGACGGTATCACACAACAGTTTGTATTCACTACTGAAAATAATGACCTCTGCACCGAACAGTACATCATCTGAACTGAACATAATGATAGTACTATTCAACAGTTCTATTTCACGACTGAACAGTCTGAATAAAGCACCCAACAGCATGTCATTGCAACTGAAAATAATAAAAGTATCACATAATAATACACTACCTCAGCCAAACGAAATGATAGTACCACTCAACTGTTTATTTTCATGGTTGAACATGATGAGAAGTGCTATTTTAACCGAACATAACAACTGTCACACCCTACAACATATCTTTTTAACTCAACATAATTGTGTTACCACATGCCTGTTTGTTTTAAGAACTAAACAGAACGACTAATGCACCCGACAATACATTGACTTGACTGAATAAAATGTAATCAGCACACAACATTACACTTCAATAACTGAGCGCATTTGGATTTTCACCCAGTATATTGGGATTTTGACCCAGCATTTTGTATCTCGGACTCAACAGAATGACATTTAACCATGTATATCAGTCATCCTACACATAAGACAGTCCAGGCGTTCCATACTTTGACCTCATTTGCCGTCAGTAGGCTGGCGTCTTGTTCCCGATTTTTGGCGTCCGCGCCGAAGCGCGGCGCCTATTGGAATGAAATGAGATTTTGTGAAAGGGCGACAGCAACTTCTCGAGCCTTTTATAGTTGCCAATAATAAAAGCCGATCATTCCGATCGGTATGAGGGTGCTTGATTGTTAATTAGTCGCGATATGTACAATGAATGGCGAACTGGAGAATTTCGCAATGCAAACATTTTCAAATGAAATAACCTTTTCCGTCAATAAATCGCGCTCTTCGGGGTATTTTTGCTTATCATTTTGTAGTACACAGTGGGTTATTATGGTATGTTATTCCGAAAGCTGTTAATAGAATGATGAGTTGATGACCTTAATATTCCGAAAATCTATTTATAGAGGGATGTACTCCTAGGTAATTCCCGGTCTCTCCCGGGATTTACTAATGACCGGCGAATAGTACCACACGTTTATTGTCCGGTCTCTCCCGGTTTTGGAGTAGATATCGTTACAGAACAGAGCAAATATTTTACAGATAAATAAGCTTTTTTTCAAAATGAATGTTTGTCACTTAGTTTGGTTACAATAATTAATAAACACAGATCAACTCTCGAATTGATTGATTATTATTATACATAAACATACAATTCGAAAAAAAAACCAACAACACAAATCGCATGTTATATTTTATCTATATGAGATAAAAACAATAAATATGTACAATAATTGAGAAAAAATGTACATTTTTATGGCATTAATATGACACTATCAACTTTAAAACATTTTATATAATTTATTATTCGTGTTTAGTAAAGATTCCGAGGAATTATTCAAAGTTACAAATCAGATTTTATGAATTATTCAATTGATTGATAATTTAAAAAAATGATAAAGAAAAAATACAAATGTACATGTATATGGTTTAAGAATAAACAATATTATAAATTGAAAGATTAACCATGATTTACTGACTTTTTCCAGTTAAGTTTTGACTTATAATCGTCGATCATTATGACAATTGAATTCTTAAAAATAGTAGTAAACGTAAAAACTCAGTATTAAAATAGCGCATAAAACACACACAAAAAAAGAAAAGAAAACAATATTCATAAAATCTGTATTTTTTTTTATTAAAATAGAAATTACATTTATTGTATAATAAACAATTATGCTCAACATGATCAACATGGTAATATAACAAGTGTCATATTGTTACTTAGTGTGAACAGATACCTTAAGAGGGGGTCCTCGTTAATAGCAATAACATAATAAGGGACAATTACACAAGTATGGTGTTGATCATGCGTTACACATATGGATTATAAATGATTGTATACATGTATATCCGTTGCTATTAATAACCACGATCATAAAGAAATAACAAGTAATATTCTAATTTCTAGCATGCCGATCAAAGTTATAAATAATGAACAATGTATTTCGTCCGTTCATTCAAAAGTGATATACAATTCTGGTAAAACCCAATGAACCATTGAAAAGTTTATAAGAATATCTTCTCATCATATATCTACTAGTTCATCTGCACCTGCTGTTTGGACGCCCTTTGATGCTTTGCATCAATGCTTTTCTTGTTAATGTTTGAAACGTATAATTTTCGTACTTACTAGCCTCTTTTACATAGACAAACATAACTGAAGCCGATAAAGAATAAAGTGAACATTTTTATTCTGAGATTCAAGACATGTGTTAACTAAAGGAAGAATTAATGAATCGTTGTAAACTAATGGTGGACGGACAAGAAGCCGCTCTTTCCTATTTTTACACTTTTTGACATGCCTTATTTGAGTTTAATTTTGTGAGCTCATTGTTCAAAATACAAAATCAATGCACGCTCATTTTGGTCGCTTATCATTCATACTATTTTCCGTTTTAGTTTCCTGATTGTAGAAATAAAAGACAATCTCGTTTAAAATTATATGTTTCATAGCAAGTTATATGTAATATGTCGGATAACTAAAAAATACAGAGATCAAATTTAAAAGAGACCATTATCATATGTCTGAATTTACGTATTTTACGTATTTCAGCGGAGAACTTTGGAAGTCTCGGTATAAGTCTCAGTCAGTGTTCAGCGCAGATCGGAAATTTTAACCTCCACTTTTCTGGTAATCTACTGGACGGGCTTCTGAATTCACTCACTGATATTTTTGAAAACGATTTGAAAATGGTTCTACAGAAGACGGTGAGTTTGTTGAACTCTTATTTCATTGTGTTGTTCTTATATGTGTTCTATAACCCCCGCACAATGGAAGTTGTATATGTGTATACTGGTTTAAAATTGTCAGGCCGTCTGGTTATTGAGCCGTCACTTAAGCTGCTCAACCAATTTCAATTAAAAAAATACTTGATGACAGGAACAACTGTATTGATATTCACTTTAATATATCGTAAGGAATTCGATATTGACTAATTTTTAGTCCTTAAATTATACCCAAAATTTCTGAACTTAGCTATGATCGACTATAGATATCTTAGTTATTTATAAATGTAGGGTATTCAAACTTTGATATAATAACTATTTTAACATTACCTTTAAGTAGGAATAACTCAACTTGACCTTGACCTTTACATAACGTTTACCTTCATGAAAATATTAATGAATTCTGCTTAAATTGTCCATAATTTGATAAGTTCAAACACTAAGAATATAGCCATTATGATTAGTAAATCATATTTGATTTGAATGTTAAAATGACCTTGATAACTTGCTCTTAAAATGAAGAAGACATTTAAGGTCAAAATGATTATTGAATTTTGCTAACATTAATATATGGTTTACTACTACTATTCTGATATACATTTTCAGATTTGCAATCTTGTGTCAAAAGGGATGGTGGACATTTCAGCCGATATGAAGAACATAATGAGTATATTACCTTTTAAAAATTATATATTGTTTAAATTCATTGTAAGGCTGTTAATCAAATATTAAAAATGACAAGCTGTATGGTCCACTTTTAAGGCACTACACGTATTTATTGCAGATGAAATGCAGAAATTGTTAGCCACAGATATTGTAACAAACGAATACGACCAAAAGTTCACTTATAAATTTACACAGCAAAATAATCGGGGAAATATCTCGGTATTTGCATTCGTAATGATAAAATATGCTTATATGCGGACGGGATAATATGACATCCCGCATGCTTATAACCTCTTAAAATAATTAAAATAATATTTTGTAATTACGGAATACTATATCGTAAAACCGAATTTATATTTCGTAAAAACGAATTAATATTTCGAAATTACGAATTAATATTTCGTAATAACGAATTATTATTTCGTAAAAATGAATTAAGTTCCGGGGAAAAAAGTGAGGAAAATGTCAAGTTTCAAGTTTTATTAAATATATCTCAGTATGTAATATACATAGACATGAGAACAAATTCTAATAATACACGTAATCACAGAGGACAACTTTTATTTAAGATCTTGAAGGAATTTATACGAAAGTGAAAAAAAATCTATTCCGTAATTAATGATATTGATACTAGTCCATTCTAGTCATACTCATGGATTTTAATAATGCGCGACCCGGTCTGTAGATATTTTAATCAGGTTATTTGATTGGTCGATTGATTTACACACCGTGTAAACCCATTAATTATGTCATGTAGGTCAGTCAGGTTATGCAGAAATTGTGTCATTGTGTCAGGATGAGGTTAATATCATGGAAAACGTGGATTATGTCTGTCTCGGACTTAATCACACGTAATCTGATTAAGGGTAGAAGTTGACATCTTCGTACTCACAGGTGTTCGGCGCGTTGATTGGTCACTACCCCCGCACCCCCACACCCACTCTACAGCCCTCCAACCTCTCAAAACCATGTAAAATACAGTATTTTTCATTTGAAACATGTTTTAATATTTGGTTTATGCTTTTAATTCAATAACCTTCATCTCCTACAAAAAATAAAAAATTGATACATATATATTTAGTAAAGGTATGCAACTCGCCGCTCAATTTTCAGCACTCATCTTAATATGAACTCCATAACTTCAACATTTTTTCACCAATTTTCAATATCTTGGTACCAAATGGCAGGGAATTGATTACTCTTAAAGGAAATAAAGCTGTCATTACGAATCATTCAATTTATCAGAAGATGTGTAATCTCAAAGTCACCGCAAGTGTAACTCGACAGTGATCTGACCGCTGGTTTCTTCAAAATTACCCGACTAAACGGCAGTTTATTCGAATGAATGAATATTTCATTGTATTGCGCATATAAATATGATCAAAATTATATTAATATTTGTAATAACTGTTCAATCAAAAACCTTATAAAACTATAACAAACCTTTTTTTCCGATATGCCAATTCTCCAATCCAAAATGAAAGTCATGTATAAACGGAAGCATTCGTATGGAGTATTTTCATTGGTCGTGTGAAAACCTTAGACCAATGAAAAAATACTCCGTACAAAAAATTAAGAGGAGAGCACTCTGTAGAACTATTACTTGCATTATAATTTTGGAATTTTGGCATATCGGAAAAAAAGGTTTGTTATAGTTTTATAAGATGTTTTGATTGAACAGTTATTACAAATAATAATATAATTTGATCATATTTATATGCGCAATAAATGAAATATTCATTCATTTCGAATAAACTTGCCGTTTAGTCGGGTAATTTTGAAGAAAAACCCCAGGCGGTCAGATCACTGTCGAGTTACACTTGCGGTGACTTTGAGATTACAACATCTTCTGATAAATTGAAATGATCGTAATGAAAGCTTTATTTTCCGTTTAAGAGTAAAAATTCCCTGCCATTTGGTACAAGATATTGAAAATTGGTGAAAAAATGTTGAAGTTATGGAGTTCATATTAAGATGAGTGCTGAAAATTGAGCGGCGAGTTGCATACCTTTACTAAATATATGTTTCAATTTTTTTATTTTTTGTAGGAGATGAAGGTTATTGAATTAAAAGCATAAACCAAATATTAAAACATGTTTCAAATGAAAAATACTGTATTTTACATGGTTTTGAGAGGTAAGAGGGCTGTAGAGTGAGTGTGGGGTGAGGGGGGGGGGGGTAGTGACCAATCAACGCGCCGAACACCTTTGTTCGTACTGGGTTATTAAATGTTGTCTGCGGTCTGTGGAAACTGGCAATAATTCATTTTTGGAATAAATGTGAATCAGTGAACTGTGTCATTTTGAAATTTATTTGATGGATTATTTATAAGAGGGTCCGATTATAAGATGCTCACAATCTCCTGTTGGCATGCATAACAACTGTAGAAATAGGTAAGTGAATTTTATTTTTATTTATTATTTTTGTTGAGTTGTTTACACGTATAGGGATTATACCTTAGGGGTATTCACTTACTTCTTTTATTTTTATTTTTCAGCCTCGTTTCCAATTCAGGTTATTGGAATTCCACTGACTCTTGACAATGCCTTTACACAAATAGCAGTCTCAAGTGATACTATATCAACCTATCACAAGGTAAATCAATACAAGCAAATATTTAGCCGCCTATGTCGCCAATTTAGAGCCAAGCCAGTATGTACACTCCGGCAGCCTGGACAGGCTCCATACCGCGGATTGTTTATTTCATTTCTACTTTGATATTCAAATCTCTGATTCAATTAATTGCTTTAAATTGATAGCTTGGCACATCTTTTTTCCTACAAAATCATCCGGTTGAATGTCTACGGTTCATTATATGTTTATGAAATATGGTCCCATTATTCCGACATAAACATGACAGTTGACACATATTTGACGGTTATATTTGAATAGGAATATTTAGGCTTTGTTGTTTGAAAGCTTTCTTAAAAATGTTTCCCTTTTTGTATCGTATCGTTTTTTCAAATTGTATAGAGAATCTTCACCGGAATGAGTATTTACCAATTGCTAAAAGTAAATCGCCTGAAACGCCCAATATGCCTCAGAAATGCTATCATTCTTATTACTCAAAAACTGTTTATTGAACTGTATCGTGTTACAGTTTCCAACAACACCCTCATTCGCTATATTACACATGATCTTATGCATTATACTGCATCTTTAGTTCTGTGTGCAATTGGTATAATTTACAGTGAATTAGTATTTTGTATGGAAGTCTAAATACTACTTTATGCACCATTTCCTACCTTTACAACACAGAACTACTTTTTCAGTCGTTAAACATCTAACATGCACTTAATCCGCTATATCTTAATATTATTAAACACATGTTTGACATTTCTAAAGATATGGAATTCTGAGGCATAATGTGCCTTTAACCCTTTCGCTGCCAGAGGGTTATTGTTTTATTGATCACCTATTTGCCAGAGGGTTTTCTAAAAAAAATACTATATTATTAATTAATATAATTATTATTATTTTTTATCAGAATTATAATAATTATATATGTTTCCAAATCTGTAAGTATAATAATAATTATTGTCGATGGTATAATTTTCTTTATATTTATTATTATTTTTATTATTATTATTATTAATTTATTGTTATTACTATTATTATTATAGAAACGCCTAAAGCCGTCCATATGGCAAATACGCCGAAAATAACAGGGACGGCATAAGCCGTCACTATGGCAGTGAAAGGGTTAATATAGCCTTTGATGTTATTGAATGTACTAAAGAATGTTTAGTTTTGTTAATGTTTTCTATATCCTTCAAATAATCATTTAAACAATTATGATACGCGAACTACTTTTACAGGGAGCGGTGCATTGGTATGATCATACATTTTACTCGTCTGACGTAAATCGATTTCCGGCTGCGCGCACATCACATGGCATAGCGTTTGATCTGAAAGAAGATGTGTTTAATAATTTGCTGAAAACATACGTAGAAAATGGAAACCTAGATGGAATGATCGGTTACTCAAGGGTAGGTAAATTATGTTTTTGTGCTGCATTGTGTCATTTGTTTGGTTTTGTTTCATTTAACACCGACAATATTTAAAAAATAAAGCAACATTCAAGCTTTAGAGGTTGAGGTGGAGGAAGACATCAAGTGCCCTTTATTCATTATGTAAGGCAAAAGCGGACGCTTGAGTAGAATAAAAAAATACATCCCGTAAGCTAGCCGGATAGCTTCCTGTAGAACTAATCAAAGACGCTCTAGATAACGGGCATCACGTGATTTAAAAAATTAATAGACAACCGACCAATTAATAAGCGTTGAGTTTTAATCATATATTGATATCTTAGTTATAAAAAATATTACATTAATGAAATTTCTTAAAATAGTTTTAAGACAATTGCAACTTTCAAAATATTACGCCAGTTCGCATCTTTACAACGGTAAATAAAATGGCGGTGTAGGAGCACATTTGTCTCGGAGCACATTTGTCTTACGTAAGACCGATGCGGTCGCATTTGTCCCACATGAGACAAATGGGACCTCAAATGTCTACCCCAAAAAACTCATTTGTGTGACAAATGTGCTCAGATCAAGTTTTTTAAGGGACAAGAAAGCACATTTGTCTCATTGTGTTTTTAAGGGACAAGAAAGCACATTTATCTCATGTCATTTTTTATGAATTATTTTGTCACATATTTCCCCGCGGCAGAAATTCTCGTTTTAGAATCGAGGTTCGCCGTTTTAACCTCAATGTCAAGTGTAATCATCAATAGGTTTGCTTATACTTTCTTTATGAAAACCTAAAGTGAACTTATGAATTATATAATCTCTAATTCAAGAAATTGATTGGCTTAACCTAAAGGCGTACGCTGAAACATACTTAATCCCGTTCTCGATGGTACAATGGTGACAGCGCGATGGCACGATGATACGTTTGATGAAAACGCGGATGGTGCGAACGTGAAACAACGATTTTACGATGGTGAAACAAAGATTGTTACGATGGTGCAACAACTAAGGCTCGATGATGAAAACTTTTGATGATACTTTTATAGCTCCAAAAAGTTATTCA